TCTCTTTGATTAATGTTTGCCTCGTGTATCCTTTTTCATTCTTTTACCTTTAACTTATCTTTGTCTTTATACTTAAAGTGGTTTTCTTGGACACAACATATGGTTAGGTTTTGCTTTTTTAAAATCCAGTCTGAAAATTCTGTGTTTAAATCAGTATGATTAGACTGTTTGCACCTAATATGATTTATTTATATAGTTGGATTGATTGAAATCTACTACCTTTTCAGTCTCTTCCTATTTCTTTTTTTTGACAAAAGTTCATAATGCAATTGACAAGGAAATTTAGTTATTTCTGAGATATACATTTTAAAGTAATAACTAGAATTATGACTTATAACATTATACCAGAAAATATAAGATTTTTAGGAATTTCATACTTTTTTATGATTACATTTAGTGTCTACTCTTTGCTTAGTATTTAATTTTTTTTCTTTTTTAGTTGATAACCTAAGGTTTACAAAATATATCTTTATGTGTAATGAGTCTACTTGCAAATAATACATGCTTCATATGTAGTATAAGGACCTCACCACAGTATATTCCCAGTTTTTCCTTCCCATACTTTTTGCTGATGTTGTCATAATTCTTCTATTAGAAAAAGCACTATACACTACTCCTATTATAGACCAGAGCTTGGCAAACATTTTCTGTGAAGGACCAGGTAACAATATTTTTGATTTTTATGTACCATGTTGTTTTTGCGACTACTTAGTTCTGCCACAAGATTGGGTTCATGGGCAATGTGTTGCTGACCACAGCTTCAAACATTTGGTCATCTTATAAAGCAATTAAAAGTAAAAGAAAAAAAAATAGTGTTTATTTCACCTTCATTACATAAACAAACACAAGAGTGTTTATTTCACCTTTATTACATTTCCAATGTTCCTCATTTTTTAGAGTAAATCCAAGTGGATGTTTGGTATCACATTCATTCTCCCTCAAAAATTTCCTTTACCATTTCTTGTAGTACTGATCTGCTTGCAATGAAGTTTTTTACATCTTGTTTGTATCTTTTATCTGAATGATACTTCATCTGCTACAGAATTCTCAATGGGCAGATTTGGGGGTATTTTATTTGTTTTCTTTTGGAACTTTAAAAATATTATGCCATTGTCTTCTGTCTTTCATGGTTTCTGATGAGAAGTATGCTGTAATTTTTAAACATCTTTTTATATCTTAATTTTCCTGTATGTATCTGTCTTTTTTCTCTGACTTTCTATGCAATGTTTTTTCTTGGTTTTTGATTTTTAGCAGTTTTAATATATCTTTAGTTGTTGTTTTTTGGTATTTAGCCTTCTCCGTGTTCTCTGAGCTTCTTGAATTTCTTGCTTTTTGTCATTAACTTTGCAAAATTCTTAGCTGTTATTTCTCTCTATATACCTTTTACTTCTGAGCTTTCAATTACATGTATGTTAGAACTTTGATATTTATCCCAGAGGTATTGGATGCATTGTTTATTGTTTTTTGCCCCCAGTCATTTTTTCTAATTACATTTCTGTTATGATAATTTCTTGTGACACGCTTAATTACCTGACTCTTTCCTCAGCTCTGCTGTGTCTGTTCATGAGTCTGTTGAAGGCATTCTTCATCTCTTTTAATATTTTTATAATTTCCAGCATTTCTATTTGATTCTTTTAGTTTTCATCTCTCTGCTAATATTTTCCACCTGACCTTACATGTTGACTATCTTTCCCATTAGATCTTTTAACATTTAATCATAATAGTAATTTAAAATTCCTTGTTTAGTGATTTCAACATCTATTTCAGATCTGAGTCTGGCTCTATTGATTGTTTTGAATGTGCATTATTTTTCTTGCTTTTTTACGTCTTATAATTTTTCTTGAAACTGTCATCCTGCATAATTGTGTGTATGCCTGGAAATGGGCTTGCTTTCTTTCTATTAAATCTTTAGTTTGAAAGAATGTTTGAGATGTTTGAAAGAAGCACTAAGTTCCCTATATGTAAAAGAAGCTATCACAAGCTCTGTTGAGGTAACAAATTTACATACTGTTTTACTGTCTTCTTGTTATTAAATGTTTTTTTTAATCACTTTTTGGGGGAGGTCTTACTCTTCATAGTTCATTCTCTCATGTATACTTTTTAAAACAGCCTTTTAGGTTATGAACTGAATTTATTCCCATTTTACAAATGTGAAAACTTAAGTAGACAAACTTACCTGAAGCTAAACATCTATCAAATGGCAGAACTGGGACTGGATTCTCCAGGTCTATCTGATTTCCTACCTGTGTTTTTAACTATTACCCTGTTTAGAAGCATTTAGCTTAACAAAAATATTTTTGGGTATCAGTTATATTGAGGATCCAGTGGTAAGTGCTGCGGAGGGAGGATGTGATCATTATGAAGTGGTCTGCATTTAATATGCTAATATTCTAAGAATGGACTTTAAAGAGTATCCCTTTTCCCTTAGCAATTGGAGTGGTAGAAATACACAGTAAAAGATTTTATTTATAAATGATACTTGGTTTACATATTTTAGAGAAACCTTTTGGGTTACTGTGAAGGATTCATTAACATTTAAATAGGCCAGTTCTCCTCAGGAGTAGGACCATCATTGGCTTGGTTCCCAGGCCATTACTTATTCAAAGCTCATGAGTGACACAGCCCAGAAGACACCGTACAAAGATAAATTGGATTGTAGAGCACAATATGGGGGTATAATTCAACATGTGAAAGTGATAATTGACTGAAACACAATAAGAGGATAAGGAAGAACAGAGAACATTCTCCCCAAGCCTTAGAGTATACCTTCAGCAAGGATAGGAAGGAAGAAAAAAATCATTGGAGAAGAACAAGTTGATAAGGTGTTTAGAGAATCAGAATACTGGCAATGCTGTACAATAGAACTTTCTGTGATAATGAAAATATTCTATATCTGTGCTTGTAGATATAGAAAATATTCTATATCTGTGCTGTACAGTAGAAAATATTAACCACCCTTAAATTCCCTTTCAAGCTAGAGGACTTCCCAAGCATTGTCCACCCGGGATTTAATCCACTGATTTTGAGGGCTGGTTTACTTCTCCTAATTATGCTTAGGGCAGACTGACTTCCTTTCTCAGTTACTTCTCTGACTTCACATTTTCACTTTATTTTAGACAGGTAATTCTTTACTCTCTTCAGCTCTTTGGCTTTTGGAAGTTTTTTGTTCCCATATCTTATTTAATAATTTGTTTTTGTTGGGAACGTTGGTCTAAGTAACCTAATCTATTAGAAACAGGAATCTTGTTTTTAATTTCATCAAAGCATGCTGTGTTCATAATTTTCCTGAGCTCTATGGCATAATATTTCTTTTGTATGTTTCTCCTTTATAATGTTTTCCCATGTTCTTTTTCACCATTTTTTTTGCAGGATTTTTTCATAGGTCCCATGTTGAGAAAATCTTTATTGTCACTTTTCATTGGTGATGTCCTTCTTATAAGCTGGAGAAGTAGGCAGCTTGAATGTTTGATCAGTTGTCTTCCGACACTTTTCTCATCAACATTGTTTTTCCATATGACTGCTTTCTTAGGTAGCCAGAATCTCCCCTGAAGCCCCATATATTGTAGATTCTTTTTTCTATCTCTTTGTGTTCTTATTGCTATTTTTATTTTCAGATTGTATAGGGGACAGGTATCTTTTTTTTTTTTCTGTTAACCTAGAAGTTCTGTTTTGTCTTTAGATGGGACTGCTGTTTATACATGACATAGTTAACACAAATTTAAGTCTTAAAATTTAGTTCTATGCCAGTTTCTAACCTTGCCTTTTCTGTATTTCCACGTGCTTGTCTTTTGATAACATTGCATTTTCCTCCTTGTCTGAAAGAGTCTGTTAAATGATTTAGAAATTAGTACAATACTTTTAGTGGCCTCTTGCTTCTTTATATATGTAATGAGGCTTTGGATTAGTTGATTTCAAAGATTTCCCTCTCCAGTTAGTAATTTCTTTGCAGGCTTATTGTTTCTAAAACTTTCTTTTTGTAGTTTATCAGTTCAAAAGTAAGTAGGTACTACAGGGATAAACTGTAATTTAAAAAATTTCTTGAATCTTCTGTTAAGTGATATTGATCCACACAGAAATCTGCACATAAATGTTTATAGCCATTTCATTTATAATTGCCAAAAATTGTAAGAAACCAAGATGTCTTCAATAGGTAAGTGGACAAACTGTGGCACACTGATACAATGGAACATTATTCAGCAATAAAAAGAATGAGTTGTCAAGTCTTAAAAAGACATGAAACTTAAATGCATATTTCAGAGTATAAGAAATGTCTGAAAATGTTACTTTATGATTCCACCTACATAACATTCTGGAAAAGGCAAAGTATATAGAGATAGTAAAAGGATCAGTTATTTTCTGGGGGATTGAGGAAGGACATGGAGGAGGGATTAATAAGTGGAGTACAAAGGGTTTTGAGGGCTGTAAAACTATTCTGTGTGTTACTGTAATAGTCAGTTCATGACACTATACATTTGTCAAAAGCCATAGAACTGTACAATACAAAGAGGGAACCCTAATGTAAACTCTGGGCTTTAGTTAATGATATACCTACATTGGTTCATCAGTTGTAACAAGTTTACTATACTAATGTAAGATGTTAATACTAACAGAAACTGTGTGGCATGGGGGGATGTGAGTAGCAGAGTGAGTAGCAGAGGAGAAGATAGAAACTACTTTCTGTATAATTTTTCTGTAAATATAAAACTTATTCTAGAAAGTAAAATCTACTAATTAATTAGAAGATACTGATGCCTGATAAAAAGTTTAAAGTATTGAGTATACAAAGTAATCAAATAAACTTAAGTGGTATCTAAGTAAAGTAACAAAACAACATTATTTGAGAATATGTTTCTTTTTATTGTTAACAATTTGGTCCTTATTCTGCCGTATTTTTTTTTTTAACAATACCTGTATTTTTTACCAATACCTTTATTTTTTTAACAATACCTCATTTCTGTTCCTGTGTTTATTTTTCTTTTCTTTTTGGTTGTTTCTATTAGGTGTACTAGCCCTATCTTGGTACCCACCTGACTCAAATGATGAGAATGGAGAACCTACTGATAACTTGGTACCAACTATTTTGGATAAAGCTCATAAATATAATCTGAAGGTATTTAATTTAATTTATTTTATTGAGATGTAATTGGCATATAACATTAGATTAGTTTGTGTTCAACATAATGATTTGATATATGTATATATTGTGAAATGATTATCACAGTTAGTCTAGTTAACTTCCATCACCACATGTAGTTACAATTTTTTTTTCCTATGATGAGAATTTTTAAGTTCTGTTCTTTTAGCATCTTTTAAATATACGATACAGTATTATTAACTGTAGTTATCAAGGTGTACTTCACATCCTGGAGGCTTACTTATTTTATAACTGGAAGTTTGTGCCTTTTAACTGTCTTCACCCACTTCACCCACCCCCTGTCTCAGGCAACTACAGATCTGTTCTCTGTATCTATGAATTGGTTGTTTTATGTTTTCTTTTTGTGGGGTTTTTTGGTGTTGCTTTGTTTTGTTTTTGATTCCATATATAAGTGAGATCATATGGTATTTGTCTTTTTGCTTCCTTTGGATAAGTACCCAGAGGGGGAATTGCAGGAAAATATAATTCTATTTTAAATTATTTTAAGAAACTCCATACTGTTTTCATAGTGGCTGCATCAATTTATGTTCACAAGGGTTTCCTTTTCTCCACATGCTAACACTTCTTATTTCTTGTGTTTCTGTTAATAGCCATTCAAACAGGTATGAGGTAATATCTCATTGTGGTTTTGATTGGCATTTCCCTGATGATTAGTGATGTTGAGCACCTTTTCAAGTACCTGTTGGCCATCTGTACGTGTTCCTAGGAAAAATGTCTATCCAGAACTTAGGCCCATTTTTCAATCAGATTTTTTTTTGCTAATGTGTTGTAGGAGTCCTTTATATATTTTGCATATTAACCCCTTGTCAGATACATGATTTGCAGATATTTTCTCCCATCTATTATGTTACCTTTTCATTCGTTAGTGGTTTCATGTGCTGTATAGAAGCATTTTTGATGTAGTGCCACTTGTTTATTTTTGCTTTTGTTGTTTTGGTTTTGGTGTCAAATCCAAAACATCATTACCAACACTAATTTCAAGGAGCTTACTACCTTTATTTTCTTCTAAGAGTTTTATGGTTTCAGGTCTTATGCTTAAGAATTTAATCCATTTTTAGGTAATTTTTGTGTATGGTGTAAGATGGTGGTTCAGTTTCATTCTTTTGCATGTGGCTGCTCAGTTTTTCCAACACCATTTATTGAAAAGACTGTCCTTTCCCCATTGTATATTCTTAGCTCCTTTGTTATTAATTGACCATAGGTGCCTGGGCTTATTTCTGGGCTCTCTATTCTGTTCCAGTGATCTATGTGTCTGTTTTTATGTTCTGATTAGTATAGCTTTGTAATATAGTTTGAAATCAGGGAGTGTGATGCCTCCAGCATTGTTCTTTTTTCTCAGTATTGCTTTGGCTTTAGGGTCTTTTGTGGTTCCATACTAATTTTAGGATTGTATGTTTTATTTCTGTGAAAAATGCCTTTGGGATTGCATTGAATCTATGGATTGCTTTTGATAGTATGGACATTTTAACAAAATTAATTCTTCCAATCCATGAGTGTGGGCTATCTTAACATTTATTTCTGTTTCTTTAATGTCGTTTATTAACATCTTATGATTTTCAGTGTACAGATCTTTCATGTTCTTGGTTAAGCTTATTTCTAGGTATCTTATTCTTTTTGATGCAGTTGTACAATAAATAGGATTGTTTCCTTAATTTATCTTTCTGAGTTCATAATTAGTGAATAGAAATGCAAGTGATTTGTGTATATTGATTTTGTATCCTGCAAGCTTATTGAATTTGTTTAACAGTTTTTTGATAAAATCTTTAGAGTTTTCTATGTCACACAGTGTCATCTGCAAATAGAGACAGTTTTACTCCTCCTTTTCTGAATTGGATGCCTTTCATTTGTTATTGTTGTTGCATTATTGCTCTGGCTAGGAGTTCCAATGCTTTATTGAATAAAAGTGGTGAGAGTGGGTATCCTTGAGTTGTTGCTGATCATGGAGGAAAAACAGTCGACTCTTCTCCCTTGAGTATGATTTTAGCTGGAGGCTTGTGATATATGGCCATTATTTTGTTGAAGTACTTTTTTTCTATTCTCACTTTGTTGAGAGTTTGTATCATGAATGGGTGTTAAATTTTGTTGAATGCTTTTTTCTGCTTTGTTGAGATGATCACATGACTTTTTATCCTTTATTTTGTGAATGGTGTGTATCACATTGATTGATTTGAGGGTGTTAAACCATCCTTGCACCCCTGGAATAAATTCCACTTGATCAGAGCATATGATACTTTTGTTGTATTGTTGAATTCAGCTTATTAATATTTTGTTGAGGAGTTTTGCATTTCTGTTCATCATGAATATTGGCCTGTAATTTTCTTTACTGTGGTGTCTTGACTGGTTTTGGTGTCAGGGTAATGCTTGTCCCATAAAATGAGTTTGGACGTGTTCCCTTCTTTTCTAATTTTTGGAAGAATTTGAGAAGATTCGTATTAATTCTTCTTTGAATATTTGGTAGAATTCACCAGTGAAGCGGTCTGATTCTGGATTTGTTTGTTGGAGGTTTTTGATTACTGATTATCTCCCTTCTAGTAATCAGTCTGCTCAGATTTTGTTTCTTCATGATTCAGCCTTGGAAGGTGGTATGTTTCTAAGAATATATCCATTTGCGTTGTCAGTGGAGTATTAAAGTCCCTTATTATTATTGTATGGCTGTTTTACCCTTTAGGTCTGTTAATATTTGCTTTTATATTTGGATGCTCCTATGTTGGGTGCATAAATATTTACAAATGTCATATCCTCTTATTGTATTGATCCCTTTATCATTATGTAATGACCTACTTTGTTCTTTGTCTCGTATTACAGTGTGTTTTATGTTCTTCTTTGTCGTATGTAAGTATTGCCACTCCAGCTTTCTTTTGGTTTCCAAGAGCATGGGATATATTTTTCCATCCCTTCGTTTTCAGACTGCATGTGTTTGTACATCTAAGTGAGACTCTTGTGGGTAAGATATAGATGACTTTTAAAAAATCTGTTTAGCTATTCTCTGGGTTTTTTGCTTGCTTGTTTGTTTGTTTTCCCAGAATTTGTCCATGTACACTTAATTATTGATAGGTATGGAGCTATTGCCATTTTGTTTATTGTTTTATAGCCGTTTTGTAATTTCTTTTTTCCTCTCTACTTCTCTTGATCTCCTACTTTGTGATTTGATGATTTTCTGTAGTGGCAGTCTTAGATTCCATTCTCTTTATCTTTTGTGTACTTAATCTAGGTTTTTGCTCTGTAGTTACCATAATGCTGACATAAAACAATTTATATTTATAATAGTCTGTTTTAAGTCAATAACAAATTTGGTAACAGTCTAAAGCTCTACATTTTTACTTACCCCCATTTTATATATATATATATATATATTTTTTTTTTTTTTTTTTTTTTTTGGCGATATGCGGGCCTCTCACTGTCGTGGCCTCTCCCGTTGCAGAGCACAGGCTCCAGACGCGCAGGCCCAGCGGCCATGGCTCACGGGCCCAGCCGCTCCGCGGCATGCGGGATATTCCCGGACCGGGGCACGAACCCGCGTCCCCTGCATCGGCAGGCGGACTCTCAACCACTGCGCCACCAGGGAAGCCCCCCATTTTATATTTTTGAAGTCACCATTTACATCTTCTTATCTTGCATATTCACTATCAAATTATTGCAGTTATAGTTATTTTTACTGTTTGTCTTTTAACCTTCATACTAGTGTTTGTATAAGTGATTAATTTATCACGTTTACAACATTAGGTTTTTCTAAATTTTACTGTATGTTAATTTTTACCAGTGAGATTTATATATTTGTATTTTTTTCCTGTTACTGTCTAGCACCCTTTTGTTTCAGCTTAAAAAGTCCCTTTAACTTTTCTTATAGGACTGGGCTATTGGTCATTACTCTATGTTTTATTTTTCTGGAAAACTCTTTATATCTCCTTCAATTCTGAAGGATAACTTTACCATGTAGAGTATTCTTGGTTGGCAGTTTAATTTTTTCAGAGCTTTAAATATATCATGCCACATCCTTCTACAATTTTTCTGCTGGAAAATATGCTAATTGTCTTTTGGGGATTCCCTTGTGTATAAGAAGTTGTTTTTCTCTTGCTTCTTCATACAGTCTGTCCTTGCTTTTAACTTTTGACGATTTATTTATATTATATATATAAATAAATCTGGATGCTGTTTCCTTCCCCTAATTAGGGAAGTGTTCAGCCACTATTTCTTCACATAAATTTTCTGCCCTTTTTCTCTCCTCATTCCGGGAACCTGATGCGAATAATGGTCCTCTTGATGTTTTCCCATAAATTCCATAAACTATCTTTGCTCTTTTTTATTCCTTTTTCTTTTTGCTGCTCTAGTTGGAGGAGTTAAACTGCCCTGTCTTTGAGTTCACTGATCTTTTGTTTTGCTCTTAGTCTGCTTTTGAACCCTCATATTTGTCAGTACAGTTGTTGTATTCTTCAACTTCATCATTTCTGTAGAGTACTTTCCTTTATTTTCTGTTTCTTGAAATTCTCACTTTCATGTTTTGTTCTGACATTGGTGAGCATATTTATTACTTATTTTGAATTTTTTGTCATGTAAATCATGTATCTCTTTTTCATTAAGTATTTTCCTGAAGTTTTTATCTTGTCCTTTTATTCGGAACATATTCCTTTGTTTTTTCAGTTTCCCTGACATTTTGTGTTGGTTTCTATGTATTAGATGAAACAACCTCTTCTCCCAGTCTTGAAGGCGTTGCCTCATGTAGGAGATGAACCTTAACGTTTAACCCTGTCCTATTTCTTGGCTGTCTCTCATATCCTTGTGATTGTCCAAACCACCTACTTGGTTCTTAGTGGCTCCCAGCCGTTGAGGGTTTCCCAAGACCTGCCAGTGTCCTAAAAGGGAGGATCTCAGTCAGCACCTAAATTCAGGCTGATTGGAAGCCAGACTTTGGGCAGCAGCTTTTAAGTTATACATATATACCTCTTTCCATGGAAGCC